CTGACTGTGCCTGACTGACCCCAGCACCGAGCCTGACTGTGCCTGACCTACCCCAGCACCGAGCCTGACCGTTCCTGACCAACCCCAGCACCGTACCTGACTGTGCCTGACTGACCCCAGCACCATGCATGACTGAGCCCAGCACAGTGCCTGACCGTTCCTGACTGAGCCCAGCACCGTGCCTGACCGTTCCTGACTGAGCCCAGCCCCAAGCCTGACTGTGCCTGACCTCCGGCACCATGCTCCCTCCGTGATGGCCGCGGACTCTAAGCCCTAATAAGCGCTTTCTTCTATAAGTTGCCTTGGTCATGGTGTTTACCACAGCAGCAGAACAGTAACCACGACAGATGGTGAACACCAAACAACAGGAACTTCCAGGGGGTGTGGAGAATTCACGGCTACCATCCTTTCCAAAGACAAAAACATTTGCCCGGCCCGCAGCCCTTTTAAAAAGATTTACTTTTTTATGTGCATTGGCATTGTGTCCGCATTCATGTTTGGGTGTCGGACCCCCTGGAACTGTGGTTACAGACAGTGACATGCCAAGAGGATGCTGGGAATATAACGGAGTCCTCTGGAAGAACAGCAGACTAGGCTTTTATGGGGACAGTTTCCCTGTGTAGCCCTGGCTGTCCTGAAACTCACTCTGTAGACCAGGCTGGCCTTGAACCATGAGAATCACTTGCCTCTGCCTCCCAAGTTCTGGGAGTAAAGGTGTGAGCCAGCAGCACCCAGTGGGCAGTGAACACTCCTCACGGCCGAGCCACCGTCCACCCCAGTCCTGTTAATGGCTTTACGCGGCCACTAAGGACACTAGATAGCTAAGGACAGACAAATAGAGTTGAAGAGTGCTGTGCCTGTTCATGACCATCTCCTCAGCCTCTTTTTGATTTGTAAGAGGGATGGTGGGCTGACAGTGTGTTCTACCTGACAGCAGAGCAAGGTCCCACGCTCAGCAGACATCTGTGCACTGCCTCTGCAGAACTCTGCTGTGTGGCCTCGCTGGGAACTGAACTCCATTTGGTGAAGATAAGAGCAACAGGAAACGCCCGGCCCAGAATCCCATTCTTAGGTGCAGTGTGGGAATCAAAACTCCAGTGTGTCAGTCAGGGCAGCATGGAAGCAGCAAGATGGAGATGTCATCTTCTGCCTGTTGTTGGCTGGAGAGACGGCTCAGAGGTCAAGAGCACTGGCTGCTCTTGCAGAGGTCCTGAGTTCAATTCCCAGCACCCACAAGGTAGCTCACAACCACCTATAGTGAGATCTGGTGCCCTCTTCTGTCGGGCAGGCACACATGCAGGCAGAACAGTGTATACATAATAAATAAGACTATTGTATAATGACGTTTAGTATTTAGTATTATCAGAGCAGTGGTGTCTAACCCGCCCTCACCTGATAGATTTTAGAATAGACTTTCTTGGGACAAGGCGACACATCTCAAACCCCCATCCCACGCCATCTGCTCTAATAATTTCTCTCCGGGCTACTTCTCATCCATAATGTCAGAACACTTGCCAGTGTTCTTCCTCTGGGCCACTTTCCTCCACCCACACCTATCTGGCCATGTGCCCCTTGCCACCTCACCCATGGAGGCTCTGCTCCTTTTTCTTCTGGTACATGTCTCTCCTTCCCAAGATCCCTGTCCCCAAAGCCCTCGCACCTTAGCCACGCCCACCTCATTTCTGCCCTTCCCAGGTGCAGGCCTTTGAATCAGCCAATCAGGGATAATTGGGGAACATCCCTCTCAGCACAGGGGACAGGAGATAGCTCAACATTAATAACAATGCCCATGGCAGGGCAGTAACCAGGTCTTAAGGCACTGAAATCAGTATTTGAAAACACAGTTGGACTTTGGTGAAAGATTACTAATATGTAATGTTGATTTATATTTTGGTAAAGCAGGTTATTCCTTAACCAGCTGTATACCCAAATCACCACACAGCGACTAGGATTTATTTAATTAGCCTAGAGCACAATGCTGGGCAATAATTGCTCCATCCTAGACCTCCAAGCCAGGATAGCTTCCTCCGGTTCTTAGGTCCAGTTCATTTTTCCTGATGATTCCTCGTCGCTCGGATCTCCCCCCACCACACACACACACATCCTCATCTCTTCCCTCCCCTCACCAGACCATCCTATTCTCTCCATTGCTCAGCATTAGCTGGTTGTTTTACTGAAAATACAGAGAAAAAACTGCTGGCGTGTTTACACAAGCTTGAGACAGGTGACGCTTACGATAAACATCATGCTGCAACGTCCGGTTTGAAACCAGAGAGTGGGATAGAGAAACCAGCACTGGGATGCACAAGGACTGTACGTATCCACAAGAAGAGATGTCAACAGATGTCCAGGGTCTTGGACCTTCCTCCAAGACCTGCGTGTGCTGGGAATAGAAAGGTGGGTTCTGGAAGGGGCCGTGTTCCACAAGGCAGCTGTCTGAAGCTGTGGAACGAGGGTCATGAACAGTCAGTACAAAGATCTCACAGGCCCACTGTGACTCATCCAAATGTCTAAACTCTGAGAAGCCCTGGGACACAGCCCTGTCCCCTTTGCCTCAACCCCAATCCCAGGCCCTGAGGGTGTCACCTTTTCAAGCCTTCTGAGAGAAGTCAGAGCCCTCGGAACCGTGACTGCCTGTGGTAGAAGAAATAACAAGCGATTCAGGAGACTGAGAGGATGTGGCAGGAGGAGGAATTATGGCTGAGCTCCCCACCAGCTCCAGCTCCATCCCAAGGGCTCAGGGACAAGCCTGCCCCACACTACTTACCCACAACATGAACATAGCCCCCTCCTTTTCCACCTGTGAGAAGAAAGGCCATGAGAGACCAGGGAAGACCCCAGCCCTAGGAAGTTTCCAGAACTGACAGCAGACCCAGTTAGAGACAGCAGCAATGAGGGTGTGGATGTGTTTCCATTAGTGAGCATGAGCAGAGCACACTTCTAATGAGAGGAACAGGCCAGACTCCCCCCCACCCCAAAAGAAAAATCATCAGTACCAGGAAATATGCCAGAGGTCACCAATTCCAGGAACAAGACCATAAAATCCCCTAACCAAGACATAGCCTGGAGATAACCCACAAAAATGTCTGGGGCTCTATGCTTGAACCGCTGTGTTGGTGTCAGTGTGGGCCCGAGCTCAAGCTTGAAATAAAGACCCTACTGCGTTTGCATCAGAGTCGACTCCTTGGTGGGCTTTGGGGTCTGAGAGACTTGGGCATAACACTGAAAGGGACTGAGAGAAAACCCAGACCCTGCCCTCTCCCACCTGTGTTTCTCTTCCTCTTCCTCACAACAGCCACCACAGCTCCAATGATGACCACAGCTCCAAGGACAACCAGAACAGCAATGACTGCCATGATGGTGACAGTG